ACTTTTATTTTTCTGCGCATTAAAGGGTTAAGAGTCCTAAAAAACTTTGGAGTTCTTCTATGGTCTTTGGGACCCTAAATTTCATAATGCTCTCAACGTACTTGTTGAAGGGTTTACTCCTTCATGTGTAAGCCTGTGTCCCAGAAAATTCACATCCTGCGTTTTATATATGCATTTATTGCTATTCAGCACGGCGTTGTTTTTACTAAGTACCTGTAGAACTTTCTTTAGTCATGCGTCATGTTCTTCTTCACTGTTCCCGAATACCAGGATATCATCAATAAAATTGACGACCCCTTCACAGTTTATCAGCATCCTTTCAATGATCTTCTGAAAAATCTCGGAAGCGCAGGTAATTCCAAGCATTATTCTTTTATATCTATATAATCTTTTGGGGGTTATAAAAGTCGTTATGTGTCTGGATTCAGAGTGAATTTCCACTTGATGGAAGGCATTTTTTTATGTCTTAATTTGTTAAAATATTTAGCTTTCTTCATTTTAGGCAAAAATGGTCCATAGTAGGCAGGGGGTGGTTTTCTTGCAATATAACGGCGTTCGTACATCTCATATCTACGCACAAACGTAATTCACCATTTTCTTTCATGATTGGAACATTGGTGAAACCCATTTAGACGGGCCTTGCACTTCTTCAATTATATCACTGTTTAGTGATTCCTTAATTTTGATTGCAACCTTCTCTTTAAAGGGGATCGGCTTGCTTTTACTCTCCACTTGATTTATCCCGATACCAAGTTTTAAGACACCCAGTCGGACTGCTGTGTTCTTACCAAACAGGTTTCTAGTACCCCCCGAAATCACGTAAATGGTTGTATTCCTTTCGTCCATCGACTTCGAGTATAGTTTCAAATGAACCCTCTATTGCCAAAGGAGAGTTACTACCCTATGCTAATAATGTCTTGTCTGGTCTTTACGTTTGATTAAAAGCATATACTTTTTTGCTTTTTAACTCTTCCCACGTTTTGTAAGATATAAGGTTCTTGCACAATTTCGAATTACACTTTTCCACAATTTGATCTATGAAATGATCATCTTGCTTTTCAATGCACACTTTTCGGCTTGTTGACGCAATCTTATCAAAAACTTCTCAAATGTCTCTCCTTTTTTCTGTTTTAGCAATCGAAAAACATGCCGCTCATAAACTTTGCTCCGTTTAGGTTGAAAATACTCGTAGAGTTTTTTTTTTTTGCTACTTAAAATACATCAACGGTTTCTTTTATCCCAGAGCCACCAAAATGCAATAGCGTAGCTCGTTTCTCGAGTGCTGATATAACTTCAGCTACGTCCAGATAGATTAGTAGAGACCTTTTCCATTTTCGACACCTTATAGCCATAGATGTGCTATCACATTAAAGCTGATAAAGGTATCATTATTATTATTATTTTAGGGGCAAACTGAAACAGTTTCTTATATTTTTTTTTCCAATTTAATGCTGGTATTTTAATACCCAAAGTCCAATTTAATGGTAGTAACTTAGTACCCAAAGTCCAATTTAATAGTATTAACTTAGTACACAAAGTCCAATTTAATGGTAGTAACTTAGTACACAAAGTCCAATTTAATGGTGGTACATACCTTAGTACCCAAGCTCCAATTTAATGGTGGTACCTACCTTAGTACCCAAGTTCCAATTTAATGGTGGTATCTTAGTACCCAACTCTATTTAATGATGGTATCTTAGTACCCAACTCAATTTAATGATGGTATCTTAGTACCCAACTCAATTTAATGATGGTATCTTAGTACCCAACTCAATTTAATGATGGTATCTTAGTACCCAAATCAATTTAATGATGGTATCTTAGTACCCAACTCAATTTAATGATGGTATCTTGGTACCCAACTCAATTTAATGATGGTATCTTGGTACCCAACTCAATTTAATGATGGTATCTTGGTACCCAACTCAATTTAATGATGGTATCTTGGTACCCAACTCAATTTAATGATTGGTATCTTGGTACCCAAACTCAGTTTCATGATAATAATATGTTCCATAACACTCGCCCTTCTCTTTTGGTTTATTTGTTATACCGACTACTTCCATCGCTGTGCCATTTAGGCTTTGGGTAAATTCAATACCTATATTGCGCATTTACCATTATTGATAACTTAGACAGCAATACCTTCGAGAAACGCCGTGATATAAGAGATCAAATGTTATTGTACAAATTGCTTCATAATATCATCGACTCTCCCCTACTTTTAGGCAAGGTGAATCTTGCGTGTCACAGGTTAGGTGCACGAAATAAACCACTTTTTGCATTACCTAAAGTTAAAACAAAAAAAATGCCTCAAATAATTTTGTATCTCGTACATGCAAAAAGTTTAACTTAAAATATTGTAAATATTAGATATTTTTCACCTTGAATATGATAGTTACAAATAAAATATTGTAAAACTTAATATATAATTGGTAGTATCACTTTGAGTTGTATATATAATGTTATTTTTAACTACTTACTACTTAATGTTTTAATTTATGAATACCATTTAGCTTGTTTTATTCTTTTATATTTTTAATTTTATACAACATAATATTGTGGTTTGCTTTTATTATGTATTAGATATCTGTGGAAACTTCATTGGTTTTTAGGATTACTTTTATATGTTTTATTATGTAATTTATTATTGCACTGTATGTTTCCCTTAAAAAGCAAATAAATAAATAAACAGTATTACTAGTTACCTACTTTGCAATGTACAGAAGTCGTGAAGTGTCCACGATTTTTTGTAAGACTTATATATGCCATGAAAGCAGTAAAATAGTATTTTCATTAAAGGCGATAAATATCACACCTGTTAAACGCCACTAAAATTTAGCTAACGACATTGTATTTCGGTTCGAATCGAGAGGAGTTTTTAGTAACATCTACTATTTTTCCATCAAAAATCTTTTTATATAAAAGTTGTGCTAATAGACATATGTTAAAATAAATCATTATTTTATCATTGCTACATAAAGAAAATAAATTTTAGCACACCATAAGCGTGGTCAAATGCGAACATATATTTTATATAAATTATTAAAATGATCAGAACAGGGTTAAAAACAATAAATCCTAATTCATAATCCACAGTTTTTTTTCCGCGGGTACTCTAGGAATTAATTTACAATTGCAATGCTAATAGTTGCACATTGCTAACCTATTTTTGATTATATCTTTATACTAAATAGGTACTTATCTTTTTCCTCGTCGCCACTTGTAATGTCTGCTATCTTCTCTAACCACTGTAGCGTAACACAGGCTCGGCACGCACTTTAACTAAACAACACGTCCACTCTCGCGCGAGGCTCTCGTGTAACTGACGCGGTGCGCTCGAGACAGTGACTTATATATAAATGTATGTTTGTGTATTTGTGCATGGTAAATTATTAGTAAATAAAACAAATAACAATATTTACTGTATACTACATATAAGCAAACACTACACTGCTCTTTACTTAAAGCCTCGATCACACACAGCGAATACTCGCTGCGAATAGATTCATTCGCCGCGACAGAATACTCGCCCCGAGTAGCCATTCTGCTCAGCGTGCCGCACCAGACTAGAATACACGCCCATGCATAGGTCGTTTCGTTGCAGCGTAGATACGTGTGTGTAGGTCAATCAAATGAGTCAACCTAAAAATTATTCTCTAAAGTGGAGAAATTACTATATAATTCGTTTCTTGGGTGTGTATAGATAAAATGGGAAGCTGTGGGACGCAAACAACAGTAATTAAAAAAAGAATCCAAAAACACACGCCTTTATAAACTTGTTTAACGAATTAATTGAGTTGGGATTCGAAATAGCAACCCAAGAGCAATTGAAAAGAAAAATTAAGAATATAAAAGATAGTTCTCGTGTAGTAATCGCTGTGTGTTACAGGCAGGCAGCGCATTGTCGCTGCGAGTATTATTCGCAGTTCGCAGCGAATACACTCGCAGTTGTGTGAAGAGAATTTTATTTTATTACGTCGAAAAATATACTTTTCATTTCCACACTACCGTAGTATGGTGTAGTTCTTCCCTTCTGAAGCTACGACTTTTTTTTACTGATTAATAGTATTAAATTTAATTTTATAACACAAATACTTTATAATTTGCGTTTGTGAGATAATTATTAGTATTCTTTTAAATTATAATGCAGTAAAACATTTTTGTTAAAATTAACGAATGCACTTAGCATAATATATTATATCGCTTTAAAAATTAAAAACAGCTTATATCCCTTAGTTGAGCACAAGACTCCTCTCATTGCTGAGAGGGTTGTGCAACTGTGGCGGCGCTGACGTCGCGCTACAAGCGAAACACATCGAAGCCTAAATCGCACTAACAAAGTTCCGAAGTTAAAGCAGCATATTGTATAGAATAGCTCCGATACTACCAATCGGAGCGTTGGCCGCTCCCCGGGCAACGCTCCGATTGGTAGTTCGGAATTGGTGACTGCACCTTGCCCGGCTGGAGATCTCCCCTTTTCCTTCCACCGGCTTCACTGGTGACCCCGACCTGATATGAATACGCAACCTATAACCTTCGGAAACTACAACTTCAAACCTTCGTCATCGTAATCAAGTACCCCATTCACTCGATCCTGAGCAGATATTGTCTGCAGTCTTCACATTCTGCAAGCCATTATTCAATTAGTCCGCCGCATTATTCCAGTGCATGTTGGCGGACAACACATGCACAGAAAATATTTTAGTAGGTATATAATTTAAAGTAGGTATTTTCAATCGTAAATAAAGAAAACATCAGTTTTCGCATTTCGCATATTTATTAAGTCTATTTCTTTTGTGGTTATTGTATTCCTTTGTGGTATATTTAATAAGTCTGTTACTTTTGTGGTTATAATTATTGTAAGTTGACTATTAGGATTTACGGATTGCAAACAGATTTTCTATATGCTACTTGTTTAATTTTTAAGCGCAACATAACAATAATGGTACCGAGTAGTTTTGAAAGATAACTTCAACATATTTTTCTGCGGAGTGCAGGCACACGAGTTGAATGCAGTGGGACCTCTATTTGGAATGGCGGGATGCGATTTGTTCTCCTTCCTTACCGGTGACGCAGATGACGCAGAACATCAGAAACAACTTCTAAGAGAGGAGAAAGAGAAGGCAATGTTTTCTGGAAGGAAAAGTAGAAGGGAGAGACGTGCACATCGGTAAGTACCATTCTACATGTTGTACTGTGTGTGTGGGATGTGGACTAATAAAGCAATCCCGTATAAACTCACTACTAAATTCTATGTAATATTGATTCCAACTTTTTAAACAGATAATTATTATCTAAACGAATAATAAATCAGTATTCATAGCCTAAAAATCTTATAACCCACTTTAATTAGCTTGAGCTGTATGTATGTTAATCTGAAATTGTACAACAGTATTAATAACCAATGGCAGTGAAATAACTTTATGGCTATAACCTAGCATTCTGACTAAAATCATCACAGTTCATGATCAATGTGTATTTTTGTAGAAGTAAGAGCGTAATTTGAACACGGTTGACCTGATGGTAAGTCGAAGCTGTGGCCCATAGATAGATAGTCAACAATTATCGTCAATTAAGCATCATAAAACAGATGTGTAGTCACTCTTGAAGACTAAGGTGTAAGTCTTTGTTACCACTAAGTGTTTCTGAGTCTCGACACTCCCCATACGAAACGCAGCAAATGCTATTCCTACGGTAGAGCCATGCTGCAGCTATATTATGGTTGTAGCACGAATGGGTCGGCTTGAACGGGGAAGGACCACGCTCTCACAGAAAACCAGCGTAAAATAGCAGCTTAAAGCTGCTGTGTTTCGTATGGTGAGTGTAGAGAACCGGAGACACTTTTTACTGGCAAAGAGGCATTCCATCTTAGTCCTCACGGGTGACAACGCATCTGCATCTTGAGTCTTTATTGAGGATAGATGTAGATGTCTATGGGTCACAGTAACCTCTTACCATCAGGTAGACTGTGTGCTCGTTTGACACCCGTGCTATAAAAAAAAAACGGTATTGCCAACACATCGTGCTGCAGCTATAACCTCTGCAGTGAGGCCATGTACAATATCCAAGTCGCGTCCAAGCCCAATCCAAGTATAAATGTACCCAACACATTATGCATTGATGCTAATATGGTTCAACATCTGGCTGTTACATAAAAATATTGCGATATTTTTTTCAGCGATAAGAAACTGGCCACTCGAATAGTGAGCCCTCCAAGTTATGCGGCGCCGTCGTGTCGGCCGCGTTCGGCGTCGCGTTCGGCGACTCGCTCCCCGAGTCGCAGTCCGTCGCCCGATAATGAGAACATACAGTTCATCACTTCATTTGGTGGTGATGAAGATGACGTCAAACCTTGTGAGTTAACAAATGGATATGGTATATAATTACATAGAAAAGATAAATACATACATAGTTAATAATATTTATGTATAATATACATATTACGAAGTTATTTGCAATATATGACCATATTTGCAGAGAAGGTTTATAATAAGTAATATAGGCAAATGGTGAAGAATTTAATAATTTTTTTTAAAAATCTGTCCTTTTTATCTTTTAAGTTCAAAATGCCTTGTAATGCAATATTTTAACGGATTTTCATTAATAAATATCTAACATCTATTATGTTATGCACGCATATTATATTCACGGATGATATGGGGTAGTGGATTACCTTACGCCACCGCTCACACCACATGACAAGAATATTCAAGAAATTAATATAAACCTTAAAATTTGGAGATATTAAGTTGGACGTTAACCAATACATATATAGTCTTCTTAATATAAAAGCTATAATTGTTACGCCTGAAAATGAGTACCCATGCTCTTAACTTATTTTGATTGTAGTTTGTTCATTTCACAGATATATGCATCAGAATACATGTGTACGGTGGAAAGAATCAAATTTGGTTATGCATACACAAATACGACTAATTTTAAACAGCGTTAGGTACGTTTGTGCGTGGTGCCGCACTGCAGCTATATTATGGTTGTAGCACGAATGGGTCTGCTCGACCGGGGTAGGACCACGCTCTCACAGAATACCAGCTTAAAATAGCAGCTTAATGCTTTTGTGTTTCGTGTGGTGAGTGTAGAGAACCGGAGACACTTTTTACTGGAAATGAGGCATTCCATCTCAGTCCTCAAGGGTGACAACGCATTCAATCTGCATTTTTTTTTAAATTTTATTTTACATTTAATTCTTATTGAATTAATTTTTTACATTTATCACTGGTTCGGAAAAAAACAGAGTCAGTGTCTAGTATTCGTGAAAATAGAAAGAAATAATTAATTAGGTAATGGATATTACCATGAATAATAACTACATCATATAATTTTAATTTGCTGTTTTTAGTAGTGGCTTATAAGTGTAACTTGGTTGAATTTAAAGGAAAATTTTGTATTAAAATATAATTAAATAATATGAATAAATAATGTGACTAAGAACTAAGACGTCATTACACTATATTTTAATGAAATTGCTATGAAAATGTTTGGCTTTACAGCTTTAAAATAGTATTTCAATTAATTAGTGTCAAATTATTTTGGAAATCATTATAAGTCACTTATATCAAGAGATATTCCTGTTTAAAAATCTTAGCAATGGCTTATAAATGGTGGAAAAGGGGTAAAATTAAAAATTTTGTTGAAACAACATCAATGTAAATTATTAAGGATAACTCGAAAACTACTGGTCAGACAGATAAGTCATAGTCAAATTTAGAAGCACCAGCTTTCAAATAAAAAAATAATCATCGACATTGGTTCACTGAGAAAAAAGTTATGAGGTAACACACAAAAAAAAAAAATAAAGCCGAATTGAGTACCTCCTCCTTCGAGGTTGAAAAGAGTTCTTGATAGTTATGCAATATTATTCAACTATTTATCTTATGAAAGAGGCTCATGTCCCGCATTAGTCTGTCTATAGGCTTTAAAGACGAGAGCAATTTACAATCGAATTTTTTTCACAGCACCATCTCAGAAAGTTTTATATGCTGATAAAGTAAAACATAATTTAAAGAAGACCGAATTATATGCTGAGGTTGCTCGAAAACCATCAAAACTCAGGTAAGAGTAAAATAAAACTATATAATTTTTTAGGTTATGATTTAAAGTAGTTTAAAAATGCTTAAATGTCTTCTGCTAAACTTATTCTGTAGTATTACAAAAAATACTTTCTAAAAGTCTCATGCTTAAACTAGAGCGGGGGGTGGGGGGAGGTCTGTTTTAATAATACTTTCCACGGAAAATATGCGGTCTATAATGTAAAGTGTGGAAGTTGACAGTAAAAATTTATCGAATAAGTGGCGCTGCGGCTAATAGTTCCACCGTTCCAGATAGCAAATAATGGAAAAATTGGCCGCTGAGATGAAAAACACCGCGCGATATTTTCTGGGGTGCGGGGGATTTTTCTAGTTTTAAAGAAAACGTGAAAAGTGTGTACGTAATGATCCTTGATTTTGCAATATGAACATGGCGCGCATGGGGTAGAGGGGGAGGGGGAGGGGTGTCGACATTCACCCTTAGAGGGATGGAGTGGATAAAATTTAACTTTGCTCTTTGAGTTACATTTACCGATAGATAAAAATACTCCATTAATTTTGCCAATTATTTAGCTAAAATGATTAAACTATAAACAGGACTTCTTAAACCACAGCTTAAACTAGCAATAAACCATGTTTTGTAATAATACTGATTAGGTCCATTTGCCGTGTAGTGGCGGTTAAGAATATCCACTACCCCATATCTTCCCGTGGGTGTCGTAAAAGGCGACAAAGGGAAACAGGCAGGAGATGGGCAGCAGCATCTTCCTGATAATAGCCAAAGTAACAATAAAAAACTGCGGTTGCCAACCCGCTCGCCAAGCGTGGCAACTATGGCAATATACCCCCCATGAGCAATGACAATAATAAACGGCCCCCAGTCCCCGGCGGCCCCGCTATTCCTGGCTACGGTGGCGACCATGGTAACGGCGGGGCAGGCTAAGAATCTCCGGTGGAGGTTCGGTTGCCACCTACGACGACTCGACCTGGCAACATACAACGCACGCACCCTGAGGACTGACGAGAAGATTGTGGAGCTGGAAGAAGAGATAGACAAGTTACGCTGGCATATTATAGGATTATCCGAGGTCCGAAGAGAGGGGGAGGACACGGTAATCCTCGAATCCGGCAACTTGCTCTATTACCGGGAGGGCGACCATCTGTCCCAAGGAGGTGTCGGATTTATCGTCCACAAGTCTCTCGTTAACAACGTTGTAAAGATTGAGAGTGTGTCGACGAGGGTTGCGTACCTTCAACTCAGAATCACCAAACGGTATTCGCTGAAGGTCATACAGGTTTACGTACCAACCTCGGCACACCCCGATCAGAAGGTGGAGGAAATGTATGAGGATGTCTCTAGAGCCATGCATTCCTCCAAAACCCAATATACGGTGTTAATGGGAGACTTCAATGCAAAACTAGGCACAAGAGAGAACGGTGAGCTGAAAGTAGGGAAATTTGGAATAGGGCAACGGAACCCAAGGGGCCAGCAGTTGGCTGACTTCATGGAGAAAGAGGGACTCTTTATAATGAACTCTTTCTTCCAGAAGCGGCCCCACAGGAAGTGGACCTGGTCGAGCCCCGACGGTTCGACAAAAAATGAGATTGACTTCATTATGACGACCAGACGACAACTGTTCAGTGATGTCTCAGTGATCGCGAGGGTGAAAACCGGCAGCGATCACCGAATGGTTAGAGGCACACTGAACCTAAATGTTAAGTTGGAGAGGTCTCGTCTAATGAAGTCAACGCTCCGTCCCCCTCGTGCTCTAATCCAAAGTCCCGAAACCTTTCAGCTCGAGTTACAAAACCGTTTTCAGTGCCTAGAAGACTGCAATGAAGTGGACGATTTGAATGACAAGCTCGTGGGAACTGTCCATGCGGTCGGAGCTAAGTTCTGCAAGACCCGCCGCAGAAGAACACAAAAACTCTCCGATCACACTCTTAATCTCATGGCTGTTAGACGGGAGATGAAGCTACATTCTTCAACAGATTTAACAGCATACAGGCAACTGAACAGACAGATCTCCAAATGCATGCGGCGGGACTTACGCAAATTCAATACAGCTCGTATTGAAGAAGCGATCGAGCGGAACCAAGGCTCCAAAGTCTTTGCCAGATATCTGTCTGCCAGAAAGCGCCAACTGTCAAAGCTGAAGACAGAATGTGGCAGCATCGTTTCCGGGGCACCTGAAATCTTGAGTGAGATTGAGAGGTTCTATGGGCAGCTGTACACGTCATCGTTGGAGCCGCACGCAAGTGTGAGTAACGATCCAAGAGCGAGTCTTATCCGACATTATTCCGATGATATCCCGGACGTCAGTCTGAGCGAGATTAGAATGGCTCTCCAGCACCTTAAAAACGGCAAGGCCCCAGGCGAGGATGGAATTACAGCGGAGCTTCTGAAAGCTGGTGGAAGACCGGTACTTGAAGTCCTTCAGAAGCTCTTTAATTCCGTCCTCCATGGTGGCATTACACCGGAGGCGTGGAGCAGAAGTGCGGTGGTCTTGTTCTTCAAGAAAGGCGACAACGCTCTCTTGAAGAACTACAGACCGATTTCCCTTCTGAGCCGCGTCTACGTGCTGTTTTCGAGAGTCATTACGAATCGTCTCGCGCGCAGACTTGATGACTTCCAGTGCGTGTTGCCAGTGATGACTTACGGAACTGAGACGTGGTCCTTCACTGCTGGCCGGATGAGGAAGCTCAAGGTCGCTCAGCGAGCTATGGAGAGGGCTATGCTCGGAGTTTCTCTGCGTGATAAACTCAGAAATGAGGATATCCGCAGTAGAACCAGAGTGACCGACATAGCCCAACGGATTAGTAAGCTGAAGTGGCAATGGGCCGGCCATATAGCTCGAAGAACCGACAACCGATGGGGAAGAAAGGTTCTCGAGTGGCAGCCTCGTACCGGCAGGCGAAGTGTAGGGCGTCCCCCCACTAGATGGAGTGACGACCTGGTAAGATATGCAGGAAGTCGATGGATGCAGGTGGCTCAGGACCGTGCTTTGTGGCATTCTTTGGGGGAGGCCTATGTTCAGCAGTGGACTTGTGAAGGGCTGTAATGATGATGATGATGAGGTCCATTTAATTGATAGGATAAAATGGAGTTAGGAGCATTCTGCTACAATCGATTGCGTAATCTTCAAATGTTCAAAATTATTTTTCTTGAGAATGCATGAACTCTTGCTAAGTGTCACTGCACTTAAATAATAAAAGCGTTTTGTGCAAATATTCCATACAATGTAATCTTATCGTTATATTATCCCCCATCTATTACAGCCCTTTACAAGTTTATTACTGAACGATATGCCTCCCCAAAGAAATACCACAAATATTTTAAATAGTTATGTCAAATATCATTTAGTAAAACTAGTTTTACGCATTTTATCGTGTTCAATATTGACTTATTTTTAACTACCGACGTTTCGAGTGCTTTACAGCACTCACGGAATGGCGATCACTCGAAACGTTGGGAGTTAAAGATACATCCAAATTGAACAAGATTAAATCCGTAAAACTAATTTTATTTGATATTTATAGTACTTTTCTTACTTTTTGTCATTAAATATAAAATCATCTTCATAATTTTATCACACAATTTTATTATTTTACAGTTCAACATCAATACAAAGCAAATTTTACCGTCCTCAAATGGGGCCTCGCGGGCCCAACTCGAAGTCAAAATCGAGGTCGTATTCCCGTTCCCGCTCAAGATCAAGGTCGAGGTCGAGATCGCGTACTTGGAGGAAGTCCCGCTCAAGATCGAGGTCTCCTAGATCTCTTTCGGTTTCTTCAAGGTCGCGCTCGCGCTCCTACAGTCCTTACAGGAAGTCAAAATCGAGGTCACGATCAAGGTCAAGAACTTTAAAAAATAGGCGCTCTCGCAGTCCATCAAAGTTTGTGCTCGATTTTTTTCACTCTGTTATTTGTGGTTTTGTTTAGAAATGTGTGCAGTTTAAAAAAATAATATAACTCTTTACAGTAATGCAGCAAATCGTAACAATTCGAGGTCAATGTCACGCGAAAGGTGAGCTAGTATTATTTTATAAATAGATAAAATTTGCAGTAGGTAAGTTTCAAAAGTTTTTTATGTATTCTTTTAAGGGGTGGTGAACAAAGTACAAAACATATTTCCTCTGTTTCTACCATAGTTTTCATTTATTTTGGCAACAAACAGTCATATTTCTTAATATATAGTTTACATTTTTACATTTACATATGACAAAAAAGACCAAATAGTGCTAATAAATCTACATTAACATACCATATTATTTACATTGTGATACAACATAGTCGTGCAACAATTTTACTGAAAAAACTTTTTTAAATTTGTTTCAAGAAGATTAGAACTAGTGCTAAAAAGGTCTATTTCTGAAAAATGTTTGTTATGCATGTTGGTGGAACGACATATAAAAGAGTTACGTGTATAGTTGTTATGAAACCGAGGAGGAATGAATAGTGGTAATGAACGTGAGGAGCGCACAGGAAAACGAACGCTTGCTGGAAATGAAATCATAGACAAAAGAATCAGTGAATCTATTAATGAATTTAGAATTTTATATAAAAGAATAATGTCAAACATTTTACGTCTGTTAAAAAGACTTTGCATTTTGTGTCTGCACAAAGCTTAATTATATGATTCGTTCTCAATACTATAACGATAGTTAAGGGATTTCAAAAACTTTTTTTGTACTTTTCCTAATCTCTCAATATGTACATGATAAGAGGGCTCCATACCGTGCTGTAAAAATCAAGGATTGAACGTACAAAAGAAAAGTATAACAGTTTGAGAGTAATAGCCCTATTAAATGGTTTTGTTATTCTTTAAATAAAACTCATACTTCGAAAAGCTTTACTTATAATATGGTCTATAGGAGAGTTAAAAGATAAGTTTGAATTTACGATTAAGCCAAGATTTCTTGTTGTGGTAACTTTTTTTTAGAATGATGCCATTCAGACAATATTCAAAATTTATTTGGTTAACTTTACGTGAAAAAGACATTTGTCAGTATTAGGATATAATTGATTAGTAACATAATTTTTTTCTAAAGCAAGCAAATCTTGCTGCAGTTTGAGACAGTCGTCTCTTGACTTAATATTTTTTTATATTTTTGCATCATCAGCGTAAAGAAGATGTTGACTCTCATTTAATTTTTGTCCAAATATCATTAATATATAAGGAAAACGGGAGCGGGCCAAGATAAGATCCTAGAGGAACACCTGAAGGTACAGGTAGAAATTTTGAGGTGAATCCCTTAATACAAACGACTTGACTTCTATTTTTTATGTATGATTCAATGCATCTAAGGAGGTTGCCATGTATACCTGCCTTTGCGAGCTTTGCTATTAGTAAACTGTGGTTAATTTTGTCAAAGGCTTTAGAGAACTCAGTGTACACGACATTCATTTGTAGATTGTCATCCATGGCTCTTCGCAAATATTCCGTGAAAGTTATCATATTCGTATCAACATTTCTGCCCTTGAAAAATCCATGTTGTTCTTGAAATATATATTGACGAGCAGAGAGCGATAAGTAAGTAGTAATAGTTTTCTCAAGAACCCAAGTCACAAGACACATAATTTCGAGATATGTCTATACTAGCTTACTTATATATTTGTTATTATTTTTTGGAATAGGCGTTATTAAAGAACATTTCCATATGTTGGGGAACACTAAACTTGTGACAGATATGCGAAAAGTTTACGTTACCGGCACTGCGATTTCGGTTGCACATTTCAAAATAAGAAGAGGATGAATAAAATCTGAATTCGCGCCTTTGTTGATATTGACTTTTTGTAATTCTTTAAGAATTAAGTCAAAGCTTATATCAGTTAAATATATATCTAAAGTTGTAAGTGAACTTTGACTACTTAGGTAATCTTAGTGACTTTTGCTTTTTTGATTGCTTACGGTTGTAAATATGGAATAGAAGTATTCATTGAAGGCATTACAAATACCACCAGAAATAACTTTACCTTTGTACAACATATTTTCAGGAAAATCACTAGTGGCATTTTTTTATTTTATAAAAGACCATAAAAACTTAGGATGTGTTTTTATTTTATTTTCGGAAAGTTCAGTAAAGTTCTTACAACAGTCACGCAGTATTTTTTAAATCAGTATAAGTTTAATAGTCACTCATGTTGCCGTATACCTTCCATTTTTTTATGGTATTTACATTTTTCCTTCGATAATTTAACAAGGGGTTTAGTATACCACACTGGGTATTTTAAATTACAATTAAAATTACAAACGGGAACATATTTATTCAAAATATCATTTAAAGAATTATAAAAGTAGTTTGTCATGCATTCCACGTCGGTCATATAACTAAATTTTTCTTCCCAGTTAATAGATTTTAAGGCTTTTTTATAGATACGAAGTCGAAACTGTTTTTTTGTACCTCTGCATAGGTTGAGTGTAGGAGCAAAGCTTAGTTTAAAATCAATTTCTAATGCCTTATGATGAGGATCCTCTGTAACAAGTGAAAGTTTGCAAGATAATACTAGACAGGTTTTATTGCTAAAAACTAAATCTAAAAGCCTGCCGTTTACGTTAAGTTGATTATTGTGTTGCGATAATAAGGATAAACTCACGATTTCTTATATTTACGCGAACACTACACATTTTTAAATAAAACTAATTTTACGGATTTTATCGCGTATATTAACTTATTTTTATATTCCCGACGTTTCGGGTGCTTTCCAGCACCCGAAACGTCGTCGTGGTCACGGGTGCAAAATAGAGACATATCTCAGTTTTTTTGTTATTTATTATATAGTTAAATTATATATTTTTTTTGTATTCGATATCAATGGCTAACACCAAAATATGGCCTTATGTTTTTGTTCAGGCGTTACCTACTCTAAAAAAATACAAAATGCCTATTTATCTACAAAATTCGTAAATGCATGTAACTAAATGACGATACAATAGTTATGGGATGTACATATATCTAAGTGACCTTTATCCGAACGTTAAATGTGAATAGCGTTTATTGGTTTCGGTGCGAGAAGTTATCGAATCCGAGTCGATTTCGCTTTCCGAGACGATTGTGAATAGCCCGGCAGGAACATCCACTTGGTGGCGTTCTTGAAACAATCTTTTTTTTCCCCCGGTAAATTGCGAAAGAAGGTACAAATATAATGACGCGACAGAAAAATGATGCACAGGCGACCGTTATATTATTATTCACTATTCCTTTTACACTGGTTAAGTTACTGCACTTGAGACTAGAGCCAAAACAATGTTCGCTACAATTGGCGCTTGACGTATGACACACTCAAACACATTAACTACAATGAATTTGAGGCAATTACAGCGGAATTGCACATACCAAAAAAGCGCAAAATGCTTTCTAGTTATTTATAGAAAAAATAGCGAAACTTACAAGCGTTTGACTATGCAAGAGCGCACTTTAGACTGAATATGACTGATTTATTAATGTAATAAATTAATAATTTTGCTTTTTCAGTAATGACAAAAGCACCCAAAACAAACCAGTCGTTCCGCGTTACTATGGCCGTCGCAAAGAAGATAAGTCCTCAAGTGAACTGTCCGTGGACTCCGACTCAAGTGATACGGCTGAGGATGAGAAAAATAAGTAAGTTCATTTCTGGTTACATTAATACCTTTTCTGTCCACAGCTAAACTTTGCAAAGCATTGTTTTTATAGGTCATGTTCTCTCTTTTCTAAAGTATATAAAATACGAGAACATGATAATAACGAAAGTTAAGCTTCACTTTTGTTTGTTAATATAATTTGTTTTAGATTGGTTGTAGTACTTGTTTCAGTTATAACTTATAACCTCTTTCTTTCATTTTAAGAGATTAAAATAAACATACCAAGTGCTTTTAGTTTTATCCTTATACAATTCTAATACATGTGTGTCTTCATCATCATTACAACCTCTTGTGAAATGAATTATACTACTATACACACAAAAACACACACGCCTATCACCCGGAGGGGTAGGCAAAGACTACGGACTTCCATTTGGCACAATCCTGACATACCTCTCTCTTCTCCTATACATCCACCATACACTACATGCTCGTCGGTTAAGGGTACTCACAATTTGGCCCATCTGCAATAATTATTAAATGTTATCACTAGTGATAAATGTGAAATTCTTAGAAAACAATTTACTTTCCATTATTTTCCATACATTCCACAGAATTTCTCTACAATATATTTGCAATAACTATGCGTCCACGAGTAAAGCATAGGACAGTGAAACTTACAGTTCACTTCGCATTGTGTACTAACTTGTAAGTGCACTTTGCATGTGTACTAACTTATAAGTGATGTGTAGAAATTAAGGTAAAATATTTATATACATTTTTAGTTAATTGTCGTTAATTTTATGTTGTGACCATACCAATTTCTAGGCTGGATAAAGTTATTGAGGACGATATTCTTTAGTTTGATTTCTTTGACTACTGTAAAGGATGAAATTACGATACAACCTAGCTTTAATCATAATTGTATTGATATAACATCATTAATTAATACATGTTTTTATTTTAAAAACAATCATTTTACTACATAATAATGAATAACGATGAACAATAATCAGACAAAAGTATGCTATTATATCGCAGTGTACATGAAATTATTTAATAATAATTAAATATCTAATAATATGATGATGTGATGATGGCGAAACGAAATTGAGAGCATTCGTCTTTCCTTCTAATAATCTCAATATCACCAGGAGTTTCGATAATAAAAATTTTATAGAAGAGTACTTTTCCTCCACGACGTCTATATTGAGTATCGATGAATAGCATCAATGAAAAAAGTTCACACAAATTACATTTAAAATAAAAGTGTTGTTAGGAGATTACTGTGGAATTTAATTTTAGAGCAAATCAAATAAAATCATTTCTATGTATTCAGATGATACTACATAAAACATATCAAGTATGGTAATGCAATCAATGAGAACAAACCTTTTAAAATAAAACCATTGCATGAAGATTTGAGAGCTGCTCAGCTTATCGAACCCTCAAATCACATGTGTGATGTTTGTGTATTTCAGTGGAATTTAGGAAATCTTAAATTTAGTGAGAGATTTAAGTTATGTTTCTGTATTCGGGATTTAGGAGTGAAGTTGTGACTTAACCAAATCCTATTTTTATCCTGTGCCTTTAGTATGTTACGCTAAGTTATCATAATGCGCGCATAACAGACTATTGCTGAACACACACATTTAAATATTTCACGCCTCATAACGCGAAGCGTTATAGGTGTGTTCTACTCTCGACACGTCAAGGTCAAGCAATTTTATGTTCTTAAATGCCTCTATCATAACCATATTGCACTTACACGATAATATGAGTAGCCATATATCAAGAAAACACTAATTAATCCATCTTATATTTTCTAAAAAATCATTTTATATTGCGATTTGAAAAAAAATTACGTGGACGTCCGGATGTTGATTTTGTATGTGGTCACGATAACTCCCTAAATAACGTATTGAGACCGGGTTATGTTTATTAGCTTCAGAATTACATCAACTGTTTTCCTATTTCATATCAATACCTTAGTATGTGTAGTTTGTTAATAAAATGATTTTCAACTTTTATAAGTTTTATTGCTATTAAAAATTTAAAGGCTTTCTCATATATTTTTTAGCATTTGATAGACAAAGGACAAATGTACCATACAGCCTATATCGGTTTTATATATGTGTAATAAATGCGAATAGTGGTTCAACTGCTTTGTTATACCGCAAAATACCTACAAGACTGTCTCGACGTCAAGTCGCTAAAGATATGCAAACATTTCCATAAATAATAATTTCATAACGTTATATTTTATCAGTATTCCTCGTAATAATTTATTTTTCTATACAAAGATACAGACTAATTATTATTTTACAAAACTAGTTGCGTTTCGCAGCTTCACCTGATTCGTCGTGATTGAAACAAAGGCTTATGCTGGTAGGTACCTAGCTAATTTTACTATATAGTCCTATATAGCAGTATCTCAGGTAATCTGCTTAAAATATTTGATAGGAGGTTGAACAAAATAAATAAAACGGGTTAAAATTATATGTTGGTTCTGTTTATTCAACCGCCTCGTTGTAGATGTGCAACCAGGAAATATTTACTACCTATATTATTGGTTTTTTTTAAATTGTTTTTTGTTGAATTTATTGATATAATGAATTCTCATCCTTACATTTAATTAAAAATCGTGATGAAAGCAATCACATGCTTATTAGAATTCAATTTTACTTAAAGCGTCATACAATCTTTCCCAATATTTCAAAATAACATCGAGTAATATCATCTTGCTGTGTGAACACCAAAAGCGCGCAACTAATTCCTTGTACGTGACACATGGGCGTACTGGTACGCAAGCGAAGCCGACCGGTACTACCGCATACGTCGCGGGCAGGAGAGGGGGGCCCTTCTCCTTCGTACCGCGCCCCATCGTTGCTCCGTCTAGTCGCCATGTTGACTCACTATTAGTATTTATTACACATATGTTTATACTTTGTGTAATCGATTTGTTTTGGAAAAAATATTTTTTTCCCTGTAGGTAATATTACCTGTTAAAATAATAGAGCGCTAAATTTAATACAGGTAAATAATATATTTTAAAAGTAAGGAATACAATTTATTTTTTCTTCAAAATTAAATGAAACGCACATGAGGCCTGCACTTTTGGATTTTCCAAACTATTTATAACTTCAACTGAATCTGTAATAAATGTTTCGGAAAGTTAAACAAAGGCCATACCACAAATATGTGAAATAATCAATTTTCTCTGCATGTAATGATTCATTTTATATAATATAAAGGTACATTATACTGTACTATTATCATTTTTAATTACAAATTGCTTTAAGCCATTACCTTTACAGCCTATTAAAGTCCACTGCTGAACATAGGCCTCTCCCATAGATTGCCTTGTAGGAGGTATATTTGCCATAGTTGTCACGCTTTGCAAGCGGATTGGCAATCGCATTTTTGTATTTTTAGTCGTTATCAGGAAGACGCTGCTGCACACCTGATTTGTTTCCCTACTCGGTGTTCTTTAAGCAACTAACTAAATTTATATATTATTCATAACTATCACCATATTTGAAACATACTGACAGCAACCATAATGAAAATGTAGTTTTATTGTATTTCCTGTAACCAGCTTCAAAAATGTCATATACATGACAACTCCACATGGGACATGTGTAGGAGGAAGTAACAACTTTATACCAGTATTAAAATTTTAGATAAGATGTATATTTGAGGTGACTTTGTAACCTATTTGAATATCGTTTCTTTTTCAGAACATCGGTGGGCAATACCTCAAATACTAACCAGAATCAGTTACGATTGTCTGGATCCAGCACCAAAGTCAGTAAGAATCATTTGCTTTTACACTTGTATGCTTTCATTTTTAGCACCTTATTCCCTTTAAACCTGTAGTTTTCGGTACAAACAAACGAAGACTGAAAACGATTTTGTTTTGTGTGTTCGTCAATAAATTCATAATTATAATAAGTATAAAGAAGCTTAGCTTTTTGTCATAGCTATATTGTTTATTTCTAAAATTTATTACCTGAAATGAACTAAATTAAAACATCATATTAAAACATAAGTTACATACACATTACTTAAGACATTTTTAGTTGTAATATTGTATTAATTTTCTATAACTTTTTGTGTATTATGTATCTCCCAATAATATATTGATAATAATTTCATCATACATACAATCACAAGTCCATTGCTGAACATTGGCCTTCTCCTAAAGACTGCTATAAAGCGCAGTTCATCCTACTGACTTCCCGCACCCCTTGCAAATTAGTGACTCCGTCTAGTGAAACCCCAAACTGTGCTTGCCATTAAAAAGCTGGCACTCGGGAATTTATCTTCTCTATCGGTTGTCGATTCTTCGAGCTATATATAATATATATTTATTCGCTAGGTTAAATTGCCCTTTGTGACCGATTCTATCACGCAAAGAAGCTCAAAGTATAACCCTCTCCGTAGGTCGTTAAGCCACTAAGCTTCCTTACAAGATCAGCATCTTTGAAGGACTAAGTCTTGGTATCATAGGGCATCATTAGACAGAGATACTGGTACTGTACACTTTTGTTTAGAGATTATGAGGAGTATTGAATGAAAAGAAGTGTAGTAATTTCCCAAATGTTGCCTTGTCGAGTTGTTTTTTTTTTAAATTGGACATCTTTCAAATTCTTATAACTGATTTTGTGGGTTGAAACATTTCTGTACAAAACGTCCATTTTCAGGTTACATACCTTCGTCAACTATTTTGAGCTTAGTGTTTTCCATAATCTTTGTCTTGACCATGTTTATTCTAGTCTTCCAACGGTTTACCTGTTGGGATACCATTGGGGTTGTTGAACACAGTGCTAAAGATCTTCCATGATTTTGTCATAATCAGTAATGATCATATCGTCGGCAAATCGTAGGCGATTAATGTATTCACCATATATGCTGTATCCGTCGCATTTTAGTGATATAAAAACTTTTTCAAAGTAGTGGTGAAGTGTTACCAAGTTATTATGTTACCCTGTCTCACACCTTATTGCAGATGGACTGGTTTCGTACTATGTTTCTGTGTTCAGACACATTTTTGTGCCATCGTAACTTAAATGATACTGGAATGACTCTTGGAAATAACGTGGCTTAGAAGGTAAATTTGACTATAATGTTGCTCATTTAGGCGTTGCCGCATACACTTCTCCACGCTTTCGGTGTAATGTCTTCGTAAATTCCGTACGAATTAAATAGCTTTCAAGAAACTTTATCGGTTGGTCGGTTACATGATAAATAATTTAATAAATTGTATTTTCAAGTGTCAACGTCGAAATATTGGCCACAATGAGTAATATAAACATAATTATTTTACAGGGCCCGTCACGAGAAACGTTGACGTTGAAAGAAAAATTGAAAAGAAAAATGCAGGCTCAGTTATCAAAGCAATGTAAGTTATTTTCATTCATTAAAAGTAATATGGAGTTTCTATACTCATCGCATCGTGACTTAGTGTGGGGTCACTATATTTATGAAGTCGATACAAGCAAAAGTTTATAATAAAAAAAAAATCCAAATATTTTAATTTGTGAATTGTTCCACCGTGTAATGCTAATGTAAGAGAATAATAGACTATTCATATCATGGATATCGTTAGAGACGACAGAGGGAAATGAAATAGGTAGACAGCAGTATTTTTCTGATGACAACAATTTACCAGTCTGCTACCTATCCGTCAGCCAAGCGTGGCAACTGTGGCAAATGATCCTCTACGATGCAATCTAGGCTTTTATTCAGCATTGGACTTTTGACTGTGGACTGTAACTAATGAAGTTAATGAAATTTTAAATTGTTGTACTATTTTTTATTTTATACACAACTTTTTTACATAAATTCATCGATTGGCCACTGAGCTAGTATAACTGTGATTCAGGAACCAGTTCCTCCCTTTAAAGTAAGGTCGATTTCTGTATAATAATTTAAAATGAGTTAAACAGGTACAGAAATATGAATAAGAAGTGACATAATAGGACGTGTGACGTTTGTGTTCAGTGCGGGCGGATAAGCGCGCGGAGGCGGAGCGGCAGGAGCGCGAGAGCCGGCGCCAGGCGCGCCGCGACGAGGAGATGCGCGAGCTGGTCATTAAGCTGCGCCGCAAGTCTGTACACAGCTTGTTCTATTTGTGTCTCCATTCATAAAGTCCATATCTTGCTCGATATACAGCATTCTGGATCCAAGCACTGCTACACATTTATTAAAAAATAATAATTATTAACAATCAGAATCTGAAATCATAGTGTATGTATGAAAAAAAAAATGTAATCCACCGATCGATATACAGTGTGGAAAGATCTTTTCTTTGATAATAAATCTCAATGTACGACTATTTTATTTCAACGGATGAAGACTGTCTCCGAATGCCGATCTTATGGATGTTTTCCAAACAACATGCCCATAAACAATTTTACTACTGAATCTAGTTAGTTGAGTAGAGTGGATTTGCAAACGTCTTGTATAGCATTCGGATTTACGGTCCCACTAACAAAATATCATGTTTAAATATTTCTGATCGATTATTCTGCTAGATATTCAATAAATTAATTAATATTCAATTTATAGCATAAATTTATTTCATAGCCCAAAATTGTTTAGTGTACTTAATGTGGACTTGCGTAATATGATCACTTGTGCATAGTGCAGATTACTCGTCACTATCTTATTTTTTATTTTATATTTATAAAATAAATGTTATTGTTATTGTTAGTATATTTTTGATCTTTGTGAATGTACAGACAACGTGAAATGAGACATCAGCAGAACCGACGATCTAGCGATGATAATTCCGGTAGAAGTCGTAGCGGATCTTCGTCAAGGTACATTTTGATTAATCTCTATGTATATAGGTATATCATTGAATGTTTTTCACTACCTGACAATTTGTGAATATTTTATACCACCTATACTGAAGATTATTTTATTTTTATAATATGTTTAATCTGTTTGTTTTATCTATTTTACTTTTATTAGCTAAAATGAAAAGAAATATGTTTGTACACCATACTGTGGTAGAATACACGATACCTACTGTACACCTTACTAACACCTAACTCACTGTATTCACAAATAAATAAATAAATTTGAATTTGTAATTTATAAATTAAACATTATATAATAAATTACAAAAAAATATTAAGAAAATCTAAAAATCATCGTTTTGGAAATAAATATTTTGTTCCATTAAAACTTATATGTTTCATTAATTGTTATGATATTCTTTTAATTCAGACAATCACCAGCAGTAGAGAAAAGAAGAGACTATAGAAGTCGTTCAAAGACACCTTCGCCCAAACCGAGACGTGTCCCTGTGTGGGAGTCAAACAAGGAACAGTCGCCTCCTTACCGGTCAAGAACTCAAGAGTTCGGAGAAAATTCACACTATCAAAGCAATCCTAGACGACGGTATCAGGACAATCCGGAAAGTCATTACAGTCGCGATGACAGAAGATACGAAGAAGAAAGACCTCAAAGTAACTATTCAAATAGATACGAAAGGTATCCTAATAGAGATTACGGCAGTCGAGGCTATGAGCATTCCCGCCACGAGCAAAATTATGAAAACAGATGGGAACAAGAGAAGGGCTACTATTCGGATAGGAAAAGACCTTTTGGGCCTAGAGGAGGATATAAAAGCCAAAGTTACAAGGGAGGACCACCTCAAAGGCATGGCGATGGATCATCTAGTTGGCAATCGCATAGCCAAGAAGATGACGGGAGGGAAAGCGCAGAAAGTTACTCTAAAAGTAAAATTAAACTTGTCGATTATTAGTTCATATTAATATATAACGCAGTGGGTTGTTAAGTTTGTATTATAATTTAGATAAGAGAAATGTATTAAATGTACTACAGTATAATTTTTTTATTATCAAAATTTCAAGGGTGGATTTCATTCTTTATTGCTAACTTTCTAAGCCTGGCTAAATTTGACCACGCCGACAACTTCAGACTATTAAACAAAAACCTATCACCCACAAATTGTAGTATCACAAGTGTAGGCATAATTACAAAGACGGTATGTATTCATTGAATTTTCAATTTATACAAGCTGTACTTTCAACTTCACAATATATAAAACACATGTCTATTGAACAAAGAAAAACAGCTTTTTACCTTGACATACATACCACCATGAAGCTAATACAAAGGGGAGACGGCATAAGCAACTGTGCACTGTGATTCTAAGTAGGTCCTGACGTCATCATAGTGGGCGTGGCTTTAGTTAGTATACTGTCAGCATTCGTCCTGTACGCTTATTTGTTGAAAAAATCGCAAATCGATGTATTTTCGTAGTATTAAGAAGAAAAGGATGAAGTGTTGTGTTTTATTGTGTAAACACTACTCAGATAGACGCTCTGATGTTATGGATGGCATCACATCTCATTTGTAAATAATTTTACACCTAATTTATTAAAATAGTTCTAGAAAAATCTCTGCGTCGGCTTTCAAATATAATTAAATATATTCCACACTAGATGGCGACACTTTGTGTCCTGTGAACTAAAAATATAAAGGTACGTAGAGCTCAGTAATGATAAAATAATCATACGAAGGTGCTAAAATTTGTTTTGCATTCATACATAAAGAAATTTTAATCGTCAAAATATTATTTTTTAGTATATAACATTTTGTGGACATGCCGCCATCTACCGTCAAGGTATCTAAGCTACATTGCAACATTGATATGGAAAGATTCGAGTAGTTTTACTATTTATCGGTAGATGTAGATATTGTAAAGTGGGCGGGGCTTTGCATCCCCTCACCCCGCAAATTGTCACGCGTTGTTTCATAGTGAAAATTAATTACAACGTCTCCTCTTTGTATTTGCTTCATGCATACCACAGACTTCAAAATTCACAGCTCATGAAATCCGTCAGTAATTATTTATTGGCAACACTTTAAAACTCTGGTGACAATATCTACTCTGTGTGATTGATAGAGTAATTGTATTCTATGCTACAAACCATAAACTAGTAAGAAGTAGTTACAAACTATGTTGTGTTTGCCATTGGCAGTACAAACGTAAACAAATGACAGACTTATATGTTTGACATTGGTAGTATGAACGTAAACAATAAGTGTTTTATTTAATTTTATGTATTTGAAACATATTTTAGCTTTCTTTATGGAGCTACAAGAAAAAGCTAATCCCAATTCTGATGTTAGAAATCAATTACAAAATTATTTAGATAAAAGAACACTACTCGGTAGCAAACCCTGCTTACACTCACAAACCATTCTGGAGAACAACGCGTTGCACCATACATTCAGTTCGACCAACCGTAACATGTTCCCGTCACAATCGCACACCGGTGTAACGTGAAGTGAACGACCCAATTACATGATAACACCAAAGTATGCAAACCAACAGTAACACTACCCATCTCAATGCTTATACTAGTAGAATAACCCAACGGGCATAGTAACGACAGTAAGACTTAGAATTACCGACTGATTCCTCTCAATCGCCTGCGCGATATTCTACCCTCATTTTTATTTTCTTTTTTTATCCTCATTCCTAACACTATTGATACTCCACTTGCACTATGCAACTTGTGGGAGATACATTTATTGTGGAACGTAGGTTATAAATTTTTTATTACTTATTGCATTATATGTTCAATAAAGTATTGGAACTAAGTAAGTTAGGTCACAGAAAAAATAATAGTACTACGTGCAGAAGTTGCACTCTTTTGACGTTGACTGCTTGCCGACGTCTTAATAGCCTACATAGTTATTATTAATAGATAATAGATACGTCATACTCGCTCTAAATTGGCAATATGAAAGTAAGGTTCGCATTCAGTCAGGCACGCTCTCGCGTCGCGGCTATACCTTCGCTACAGCGCATAAATCTTCTAGTTATTCGTGGTAAAAATGCCTTCCTGTGTTTTAAGGTGGTGCACAAATTACACGGCAGCTGTTAGAGACAAGAAAAACGTCTCATTAATATTTTGAATATAGATGTTTTGTTCATAATTGGTTTTATTATTTCAGCACGTAACCGATAGTGTAAACTTTAACGCTAGCTAGTGTGTTCATTTCCATATCGGTATGAGTAATGAGCGCTCAGCAGCAATCAATATGCAACTAATGATGTATATTCATCTTTTTTAACGATAGGTATGCGATATCATTTGTTTCTTTTTGTTAGCGCAACGTGTCATAATAAATAACTGTACGTAGATATAGTACTACCTGCGCCACTTTAAAATACAATAATGTTAGTGTGTAACCTGTCTATCTTTTTTAATACGTCTTTGTTATTAACACGTTCATGTACGCATACCGTAATAGTCAACTTATAGGCCGTGGCGCATTTTTACTCCATACAAAGTTTGAGGACGTCCATACTCGTATCGCCGTATCACAAACTAAATATTGCATATGACTTGTCGGTAACGTCAGTAAGCGTTGACGTTCAAGGACGCACCGGTATATTGCTAAAAATATTATCCATCAAAGGGGCAACAACGTTTAGGTACGTCTACGTTACCAGCCGTTCTGTTCCGATTTGTGGGTATTTTAGACCTTACAGATTACAAGAACGTCGTTAAACGTCAACGTCGGTACACGTTCTGCTTTCATCTCTAGACAAGATCCCTACACTATATTCAACAACGTTTAACAACGTTAACGTTGGGACACGTTCTGCTTTAATCTCTAGACAAGATTTCTACACTATATTGAACAACGTTTAACAACGTCAACGTTTACAGCCGTTCTGTTACTAGTTGCCAAATATTGATACCATGATAAGAAAGCAGCGTCAATGCACGTTGACGTTCATAACTGTTGTTCCACAAATATCTAGTAAAACTTAAAGTTTTGGGAAAAAACGTTTAATTACTCCAACGTTACTTGACGTTCTGATCATAAATCGACTAAACGAGCAAATTATCTGTCGCTCATCGTTTCCTGACGTTTACTTTGATTTATAAAAATAAAATAATAAACAGGATTTGATATGAAATAATAGTCAATAATCAGCAGTTTTTTGTTATATTTTTAGAATATCAACTATTTTTCAAAAATCACCTACATATCACATTTTGTATCAATATCTACCCTCTTCTCAACTTAATTGAAAATAATTTAGGTGCAGTTGTCCATAAATTTCTTCCAAGTTTTAGTTTAATAAAATTTACTTTTACTTCGTATCCTATGTATGAGTAACTTTTTCACATTTTACGCTACTTATAAGATCAAATAATACTATGGTAAGTTTGGTATGTCCCATAGAAGTAACTAATTATTTCTCAAAATTAACAGTTTCTCACTACTATCTTATCAATAAATTACCAGTATAGCACAATAATAATCAGTCTTACACAGTTTTGGTATAACATTGGTAGCAAAAAATTATAAAAATTATAAATACTCTCATACTTTTACCTACCTATCATATAAATAAGTAACCTTTTAACATTTTACGCTACTATCACAAAATCAAATAATACTCTGGTAAGCTAGGTATGTTCTATAAAAGTAACAAATTGTTTTACAAAATCAACAGTTTATCACTTCTATCTTATCAATTAATTACCAGTATAGCTCAATAATATTCAGTCTTACACAGTTTAGCAGATTTAGTATAACAATCGTAGCAACAAATTATAAAACTTGTAAATACTCATATGCATGATACAGTTATAATTATTTGATATCACTCTCATAAAAAGGAACAAAATAGATAAAAAAGCATTATACTTCTTTGTGCCACTCTTCGAAACAAAGAACACACAATGCTGGCTTTTCAGGGCAACCTTTACATCTCAGGCAAATGTCCCTTCTCACTTTTTTTTTCGTGCACATCTCGCATTTCAAGTACTTTGATGTTTTGTTTGAACCCTCTTGCACGGGTATTTTCTCAGGCCAGTGACCATGGACTCTTGAGCTTCCGACGTCGTCAATGGTTCTGACTGGTAGTGGTAATAAATTAGATCTGAGTCTGTTGTCATATTTGCTGCGAGCTAAATTCACTTGCTCTGCTGTTAAAACTGCTGGTAAGTTCAACAGTCTTCGAATCAATTCGTCTCGGAAAAGCAAGAAATCACAATTGGCTTGGCAGTATTTTTTGAAAATAAAAAATGAGTATCATACTGCGACATCCAACAAGTGGAACATCACTTTTTTATACCACCTGATTGATTTCCTTGATGAGGAGTAATATGAGATCATTTGATCAGCTCTATCAACTCCGGACATGTGTTGATTAAGAAGAATATTCTTGCACTTCTGCAGGTTTAATTTTTCTTTGTTGAAATCTGTTTTGTACTTCTATAAAACGAGGATGAACTGAAGTTCTTGTCAACACATTTTGAAACATAGACCTAATTTTTTCGTACCCACACATGTTGATTCTTCTTGAGTTTTTTCTTAATGATGTCTTTGGGATTATCTTTTCTGTTTGAACGTAAGGTACCTGTGGTGTGAGTTTTTAAGTCATCTAGCTTTTGTGAAAGTGTTACGGAATTGTAGTAATTATCCATGTATAATTGATGTCCCTTCAGCAAATATGGCCTCATGAGACGAAGGATGATCTTTTCAGATTTTTTGTCAGTTCGAGCAGTTGTGTCTTTTCCTGAGTACAGCATTATATTTAAAACATAGCCATCAGAAGTTGTCAACTCGAAGAATTTGATTCCGTAACGTACTTTTTTGCTCTTTATATATTGTCTGAAGGCTAGACGGCCTCTAAATACAAGCAAAGATTCGTCCAAACTTAACTGTTTGTATGGCTTATAGCACTCCATGAAGCTCTTGGTAATA